GCCATGGCAAAACCCCTGTGGAGATTTTGCCAAGAAAACCCCAAAATCCGGCCCCTGGGCCTTAGGTTGCCTACCCCTAACTTAGGGCAAGGTGAACCTATCACTGGGTTTTCTTGATTTCTTCAGAGCAGGTTTGCCAACATGGTCTTCCTCTGAGGTTGAGAGAGTGTGACTTGCCCAAGGCCTAGATTTTACTGACTGAGTGAGGATTCGAACTCTGGTCTCCCAGAGTCCTTATCTATCAAACCAACACTCCATGGTTGGCTCCACTATGGCAACCCTCTCCTAGAGTTTCCTTGGCAAGATTTGTTCAGAGGGAGCTTGTCTTTGTTTTCCTCTGAGGATGAGAGAGTGTGACTTGCCCAAGGCCACCCAGCTGGGGTCCTGTGGCGGAGCAAGGATTCGAACCCTGGTCTCCAGAATCCTAATCCGACACTCAAACCATGACACCACACTGGCTCAAAGCGCAAGGCTAAGTGCCGCCAGGAGAGAATTGATATAAATACAATTTTTCAGGGAATGGGTTTTATGGCTGGGAATCTCCCGCCTCCGTGCGGGACCGTGCTGACCACACTTCTCCCACCTGCCTGAATTTTATCCCCACCACTTGGTGGGGCTGATGGGAGTCGCAGTCTGCATCAGGAAGGTCACAGGTTGTCACTATCTATCTGGTCCATGAATGGGGTCATTAACCATCATGTTGCATCTTTAGATCATACCATTCATGGACTGTGTACTTGGCCTCTGAGGACAACCTTCCCGATGCAGACTGCAACTCCCATCAGCCCCAGCAAGTGGTGGGAATGGTGGAAGATATAGTCTAATGCCATCAGCAGGGCTTAATGGTTATATCCTATTTTTTCTGCATTCCCTCTTCTGCTCTGCAATGCCAGACAAGGAGCCACATTTTATTTTAATGCCTGGTGCAAAAGAGAGGAGGAAATACAGCTCCCAGCACCCTGCTTTTATTTCCATCCGCCGGGATGCGGAGAGGATGAGCAGCGAGCCAAGGGTGCCCCAGAGCATGTGCAGAGTGCCTTCCCATCTGGGGTCCCCATATTCAAGAGGAAGCCACTCTGGTTTAATGGTGACAACACTGGAAGATCTGGGTTTGAATTCCAACTGAGCCGTAAAAACTCTCTGGCTTTTATCTGGCTGCATCTGCACGGCAGAAATAATCCAGTTTGACACTGCTTTAACTGCCATGGCTCCATCCTATGGAATCCTGGGATTCATAGTTTTGGGAGATGCTGGGCCTTCTTTGTCAGAGAACTCTGGTGCCACAACAAACTACACATCCCAAGATTTGTAGGATGGAGCCAAAGTGGTATCAAATGGCTTTCTTTCTGCAGTGCAGATGCAGCCTCTGTCTCTCTCCTTCTTTTTTGCAGACTGGCCTACCTTGCAGGGCTGTTCTGAGGATACAGGAAGAGAACCACAAACACCAACTTGAATTTATGGAAGGAAGGGGCCAGGATAAATGAAGGCATTTCCCCCTCGAATAAGGATTCAGTCCCCCACAAATGAAAACTTCCTTCAGATTTCCCTCACATTTCTGAGAGTAACAGGGGTTGCAGACTGCTAGAAATAGTGCAAATTGAGTCCACTTTTAGGGTTAGGGTTAGTACTAGGTAATCATGGGAATTGTTGTTTTTTTCTGAGACACAGAGCCTTCTCTGTCAGAGAGCTCTGGTGCCACAACAAAATTCAGTTCCCATGATTCCCTAACCTTAACCCTAACCCTAAAAGTGGACTGAATTCACACTATTTTTGACAGTCTGCAACCCCCCTAAATCAGAGAGATTTACCTTGAACTCTTCCAGTTGCAATATTTGCCTGTTTTTGCAATATTTGCAACACCTTGAACTCTTCCAGTTGCAATATTTGCCTGTTTTTTAATTCTATTTTTAAATGCTTAAGTTGAAGTTTTAAATGCCTGCAGTGCTAGAAATCTGGGGAGGGAAGGATAATTTCATTTTTGCAGAATTCTTTTTAGGGAGGCAGTGCCTTCGTTCAGCCTCCTTCTCCCCATAGCTACCTTTCTGGGTGAGAGATATGCGTATCTTTTTATATATTTATATTTATATTTCTATATATATATATATTTCTTTATGTATATATGTGTGTGTTGCTTATGGTTACTGTCCCTGCTGCTGTGCCTTTAATTCACATCTTTGAAAAGGGGATTTTAGCAGGTGTTGCTCCTTGGACCGCAGAAGGAAGGAATAGGGAAAGCTGCCTTCTTTGCCCTCCATGGAAAGGTATGTCTCAGAAACTTCTGGTCTTTCAATAACGGATAAATGCAGAAATGCCTGGCCATAACTAAAGTAGAGAGAGAAGGACGAAGGAAGAGGATCCCAATCCCTCCAGAGATGCCGCCTTCTTCTTTGCTATCCTTTGGGAGCAGATGGAGGAGGCTTTGCTATTCTGGAAAGCTTCAAAGGTTAACAAAACAAGGGCTTTTCTAAAAGTTTGTAACCTTTAGACTGAGTTTAAATGGCTTTGATTCCGTTGGTACTGTTTTAATCTCTTCTTTGGTCTGTTCTGAACTGTATGTCTTTCCATTGCAATTTTCTCTCTTTTGTAAGTCCCAGTCTGGGGAAAAGGCAGGGCATCCATGGATCCATGGATTATTCCCCTGCCCCAGATAATATATATGATGGGAGCCATCTGCCAAATCCTGAGGACCGAAATTAGCCCTCCTCCTCTTCATAGGACTTCCAGCAGTCCTTCTCTTAAATGCAATTTTGTGTTTTTTACCTAGGAATTTGGGGGAATTTCCCTCCCTCTACAGTAGTTCCAAACCTCCAATCACTGTCTCCCTCTGCTGGCCATCCCCTAGCATGTCAAGACCAAAAATTAATGGCTAGAAATTTCCCAAACTTTGGTCCTCCAGATGTTTTGGACTTCAGCTCCTAGAATTCCTGATGGTTGGTGAAACTGGCTAGGGTTTCTGGGAGCTGAAGTCCAAAACATCTGGAGGACCAAAGTTTGGGGAACAGTGGGCTAGATTTTTTCCTTACAGTAATCAATATCCGCTCTCAACATTCATTTTAGGCCAGCTTTGGTAAGGAAAAGGCTCTCTACACACAGGTCCTCCATCGGAGAAAGGGATCTCTGAGATGTCAATGCCTTGCAGCTCCCAGCACTCCTCAACTGTGGCTCTCTATGCTTGTTCAGAGGGCTGATGGGCATTGTAATCCAACGACATCTGGAGGCTACCTGACTCCTCCTTGGGAGGTTTCTAAACAGAGGCTGGATGGCCACCTGTCGGGAGTCCTTTGATTGGGTATTCCTGCATGGCAGAATGGGGTTGGGCTGGATGACCCTTGGGGGTATCTTCCAGCTCTGTGGATTCTATGATTCCTAGACCAAATCCAGGCCTTATCCCCAAATTTCTCGGGATTCTTTCAGGACAGTGATTCTGGAGGAGATGGGACGAAGGCGATAGTAGAAATGAAATATTTTCCTGTAGCAACTTAAAACTGTCTCTTAACAGTGAGCCCTTCCCTAACAGACAGAAGGACAGTTCCGGTGTAGAAAAAGCACACGCGTGTTGTCTGGGTTTTTAATACGCAAAACGGCAGGGTCTGACCAGCCCCTGCCCTTT